GTTCCGTATCTACGTAACTTGAACGTGACGGATGCGGCGGCCGCAAACGTAAATCGAGGTTCCGAATTCCCTATTCCTCAACACGGCGGCGGCCTGTTCCTGGTCAGGGCAATATGGCCGCCGCCGTTAGACACTACGGCCAATAGGGTTGAAGCGGCAGTGCTCCCCTGTGCGGCAATCTGATGACGTCATTTGCCTTTTGAACGCCTGTCACGCGATCAAAGGGCTGTTCACGACGTCGGTTTATCCCGTTTAATAAACCGTAAACATGTTTATTTTTTGAAGGACCAATCAGCGTCGACCCGATCCTGACGTCACATCTCGTCAATGACGTCAGACCTCCGCCGAAAACCGTTTATGCGGTTGATGCCTCAGAGCATCAACATGGCGCGTAAACGCGTTTATGTGACAATGATGGCGATGTGCGGCAAACTCGTGAGGAGAGTTGAGTTAGGAAAATTGGATTCGTACAGTTCAGGGGCTGGTAGATGGGTGAATGAGTTTCAAAATAACTCTGTACGGATTGCAGATGGCTGGAATGGTAGGTTTTATTTTTTTCATTGAAATTAAGACCTATTTTAAGCATCGTTCTCTGCTAACCAGCGTCTAGCGTCGTGGGTATTTTGTGATGAAAACTGTCCTTATTCTTGCAATATGTCATGATATGGGACATATTTCCATCAGATTTTCTTTTCTTTGCACCTTTAACAGTATCGTCTCAACTGCTTATTAGTTGTCACTGTTTAAGTAAACACTTGTGTTTCGTAAACGTAAACGCCGTGTGACGTCACAGCCGGGAACGTGCCCCGAGGGCAGTTTATGTAAACCACATAAACCGACGTCGTGAACGTCGGTTTGAATAAGCCAATAAGCTATAAGCTTGAATAAGCCAATCAGAGATACTTTTGCTATTGTATGAGCCGCGTCATATTTGAGAGCAAATATATTTGCTGCCAAATTTCAATCCACATTGACATGAAGTAAATCCTTCATTACGTCACAGATCCGATCTAAATGACGTCACATTGAAATATAAAAGTCGCAATATTTCAAAAAGTATAAGATGGAAACGCGTAAAAACTTGCAGAATTTGTCACTATATCATGAGTAACATTTCCGAATCCTAAACGGTAGGGGAGAGTGGGGCAATTTGGCCGGTGGTGTAAATTGGCCGCCCCCACCTGTACGGTGTCTTACAAAAGTGAGTGAAACAACTCTAGTCTCTATTCAATTGTCATGGGTCAGTGACATCGAAGTTGTTCTTCACCAGGTCGTACGCGCGAAAGTAAGTCTGGGTCAGTTCTCTTTTGGTGAAGATTAAATCAGAGCCCGCTCTCACTTCGATGACTTTGAAGTCAGCCAGTGAGGTACGGCCGGTCGTCCTCCTGCTGCAGCGCCTTCAGCTTGCTCTTGCTGATGCCGTCTGTGAGGGCGGACAGTTCCGGCCAGGCTGCATTCTGACAGATTTTACGCCGGCGGCGTTGACAGCGTCAACATAGTCATCGAAGTTTTCCAGTTTCTCTTTCGCCCTTATCTTCTTGGATATAGCCTGGTGGACTGCGTCCGCCGCCATAGCGGTGTGGCCCGGTTCAAAAAATTTAATTGTCACTTTTTCGATGGCATTTTCTGATGCATGCACCAGCTGCAGCAGCGCAGAGCAGAGCGTCCAGTGTTTATTTTGGCCTGAACAATTATCGGCCCACACTGTCACCTTCTTCGGGTTTCGGCACGCGGTGTTCAGGTACAGGAAGTACGCGGCGGCTACATCCTCGCAAGACCGACCGGCACGGTATATAGAGAACTAGGTAAAACCGGTTTGCCGCCACAGCACTAAGGTATTTTAACCACTATTTTCAGCTGGCCTTCTCAGTCCAAAAAAAAAGAAACTAGGCCACGTATCTATATGTGTTTTATTATTTATATATAAATTGGCAACAGTGGCGCAGCCAGAACTCTGGCGACGGGGGTGAGAGACGTTCGCGATGGGCCCCCCAGCAAAGTGGGCCCCTCTCAACCTAATGGGGCCCCTTACCAACAGCGAAAGGTCAGGATCATTGTCCTGATCATTACCAGCCAAATCGGGGAAAAGGACAAATATATCTTGATCTGAAGAGGCACGTAAAAAACAACAGCATATTTACAGAAACACGACCATTCTGCCCGTATTTGATGGACAGCGTGCAATTGATGGCCAGCGGCCACTCAAATGGTCGGGCTAGGTCAAAAAGCTTTTAAAAAAGCTCAACATCAGTTTTTCGACTATTACTTTTGATATAGGAGAGGTAGAGTAATGAAATTGTCTTGAATGTGTTAATCATCCATACGGATCAGTTGATGACTATTATGAACTTCTCAAGTAAGGGCATGACCTTGATCTGCGGTCACATTTTTGAAGTTGAACTTTTTGTGTAAAATTATAGGTGTTAACATTCGATGCATGTTAACGAGAGAATGATGACAAAGTAGATGTCTCATAATTTTTCTCACCAAAGTTCTTGCAAATTTTTTTAGCAAAACTCTTTTGGTAAAATGCGACTATTTAGATGGTTTTGCCCTCTGCTCTGTTGCCAAACCATTGACATGAGGCATTGAGGTCAAATCCTAAAAGCGAAAGCGCTTTGAAAGGCCTATCGAATGAGTTGTTCCGCGAAGCTCTAGCTCTTTGATTCACGAGTTATACGGTTATTTGTGAAAATATAAAAACGAATTTTTTCGTCGTAATCTTGTCTTTGTGTTTATTATAATTTTATCATAATTTCATCTTCAATGACCTCAGCGATGACCTAATCGAAAAATGACCTCTACGATTCTGAAGCATCCTACAGCTATCTGTTGCTTTTCTCGTCTTTTTAGCCTTCTTAAATTATGATCGGGTTTGGCCGATACGCCCCCCCCCCCATGGCTGATTGCACGCTGGCACTTTCAGCGCGCTATAGCTTTATATGTCCTCGAGTGTCGAAATAGGCGAAACTTTTCCTTCGATGAACATGATGACGTGGGCTTTGGTCTGAACTGCAACATGACTGAAGCAATTTCTCCATGATTTTCGACGCTCTTTAGAAAGCCGCCTACCGCCGCACTTGTCGCTACGTGACCCTGGAGTCAGGTTAGAAGTGAATATTCAAACACCCCTCAGGGGCGTAAAACTGGAAAGCCTGGGGCCCTGCTCTGCGGGGCGAGGTCGAGCTAGGCTAGAGCCAGTTCGGGATGTTTACAAGCCCACGTAAAGCCCTCAAGAATCTGCATAGAGCACAGGCCTTCCAAGACTTGGGGGTTTAGATATCAACAATCGACATGGTCTTTTGAGACCTGCGTGGTGGCTATCAGAGGTCGGTGGGCCCCTCAAAAGCCGGTGCAGGAGCTTCAGGTGTCAGTTTGGAGCCATCATGGACCGGTGTGGAGTCCTGATGAATAACTTGGCGTCAAACCCCTAGACGTCAGGGTGGGGCCGGACGGTGAGGCAGGCACAGGCCTGAAGAGAAGAGGAATTTTCAGATGTCGGCTTGGCATCTTAAGGGCCCTGCATGGCTTTCTCAGAGGCTGACATATCGTACTGCGGGACCTCCATGAGCCTCAAAAACCTCTATGGGCCCCTCACGCTTGGGGTAGGCTTCCTGAAGCATAAAATCTCTGAGTCTTGAGATGGGCCCATTAGACATGAACTGGGCCATCAATATACATGTGGTGAGTTGACCTTTATCAAGCATGATATCGGCTCAATCAGGATTGGGATAGGCCCTCTCAGACCCAGACCAGGCAGGGAGTACGGACCCTCCCACACATAGGATGATCCTTTCATTCCTGGGATGAGTTTTCTCAGGCCTGAACTGGGCCCTCTCAGATCTGAAATGGGCCCCTCTCAGGCCTGAAGTGGGCCCTCTCTGGCCTCAAATAGGTCCTCTACTGGGCCTGAAATGGGCCCTCTCAGGCCTGACATTAGCCCTCTCAGACCTCAAATTGGCCCCTCTCAGGCCTCAAATAGGACCTCAGGGGCCTGAAATGGGCCCTCTCAGACCTGAAATGGGCCCTCTCAGCCCGGAAATGGTCCCTATCATGTCGAAAAAGGGCCCCCTCATACCGTAACTGGGCTCTCTCAGGTCTGAAATGGTGCCTCTTATGCCTGAAATGGGCCCCTCTCAGGCCTCAAACGGGCCCTCTCTGGCCTCAAACAGGCCCTCTAGGGCATGAAATGGCCCTCTCAAGCTTGAAATGGGCCCCCTCAGGCCTGAAATGGGCCCTTCTCAGGTCTGAAATGGGCCCCTCTCAGGCCTGAAATGGGCCTGTCAGGCCTCCAACATGCCCTCTAGGGCCTGAAATGGGCCCTCTTAGGCCTGAAATGGGCCCCTCTCAAGCCTCAAACAGGCCCTCTAGGGCCTGAAATGGGCCCTCTCAAGCTTCAACTGGGCCCCTTCAGGCCTGAAATGGGCCCTCTCAGGCCTGAAATGGCCCTCTCATGCCATGGAACGGGCCCTCCTAGGCCTTGGATTAGTTCAATCGGGCCTTGGATGTACCCTCTTAAATCATAAAATGGGACTATAAATCCTTAAGAGGGGGGGGGGCTATCAGGCCTGAAAACTGTTTTTCAGACCTATGACGGACCTTGACATAAGTGATAAAAATTTGTCAGGCTGCGTAACGTTACAGTTCGAATCGACTGTGGGCCCCTAGGATAAGAGACGGGGGTGAGATCTCACCCCTTTCACCCCCCCTGGCTGCGCCACTGATTGGCAATAAAGGTGCACAGGGCAAGACTAGCGTAACTCTGTAAAGTATTTGCGAAGATAATTTTTTGACCGACCACGCCATTTCGAAAATAATATACCTTTGGTTGTTATTGATTAAATCATATTTTTATCCTTAAAAATTTAAATTAATAGTAAAAAAGTATTATCAAATGCCAATACTGTTTCTTTCAATTTCGAAACCACCAAGCTCAGCAAATGGCGGGCCCACCTGACCAGCCAACGTTTTACCACAAATTCTCGTAGAAATCAGTTGTATAGGTTGTAAATCATGATTGAACAATATCAAAATTGAATAATCTTTCCGATTTTATGTGTTATTTCATTTGTTCATGCTCAAAACTAGAATAAATCGATGTTGAATGTAAAACCACCTTTGGTGATCTTGGTCACACTGTTTCACTAGATGTAATGGTTTTCAAAAACAAGACCGAGTCGGCGTCTGAAACGTTCACCAAAATATGCAAAAATGCTGACATTATAAGGTGTCAAAGTATCAAAGCTCATCTAATGGGGGAACATTGTCAATTTTGCTTCCGAATCCGAAAGTTGGCATTTTGGGTACCAATCAACTCCGAACAAAAAACATTGATGCTCGGTAAACATGGTGGTGATGGGTTCGCAAAAGATCTTAATCAAAATGAAAATTCTATTTTCTTCCCAAGTATGCATGTTTTATTGCAGTTTCGGTGCTATAAGTTATATATTTTTGGTCTATAATGTATCAGCCTCCTTGCTGTTTGAGGTCACACTGTAACAGTCAGTGGCATATTACTAAAAAATAAGACCGAGTCGGCATCTATTGAGGGTACTATATGTAACAGAATTTAATTTTCTATCTGATGTTATAAGTTTCAAAACATGACTAATGGGGGAACATTACGAAATTCGATGTTAAAAACTGCTGACCACGATTATACACCCACAGCTGCTCACGGTTTCGTGTACTGCAAATGCTGCTAATATAGTTCTGACGCTAGCAGACGCACGTTTTTGCATTCAATTGGCTGCCACGGCGTTCCATGTGATGATAGAGAACATCCCTGGTTTTCGACTTTTGTGTGTTGTGTATATTTGTTTATTAGGCACATTTCAATTCAAATTTGAATTTGGTTCTCTCACTTCTGTGGGTCTTGGAGTTATGGATATATTTTGTGGAGCGCGGAGCATCGGGGATTTGTGGAGTATTGGATTGGCGTTTTCTTGGTGTTTTTTTTTTAAAGATATTTTCATAGGCTACAATGCCACCAGGAAGACCAAGACCAAGACAGTGCTCATGCCCGAATCATCGGCAACACAGGATGGCAAACTTCGCCTCCCCTGGCTTGTATGAAGCCTTGATTTCCATTTAAGGAAGTAAGTCTGTGCCCAAATGGATGATGCACGTGTTGGGCATTTTTGCAAAACAAAGCAGTTGAAAGGGTTCATTTGCTGAGGCTGTATGGAGTACGCCGTAGGTAGCGACACTGAGCGATTTGTTTACAGCCAGCTTCGATCCCGATGACGCAAATGTGTCGTCACGAGACAAAACAATACGGCCACCTCTAATGAGAACCAAGTGCAATAAGTTCCCGGATGTAAACAGCACTGACGTCACCGGGATCGAAACCGACGACATCAGTACTGGACCTATGGCGAAGCAAAGTAGTGACATCCCCCTGAGTACGCCAAGCAATGTCATGCTGATGGGGAGACGTGAGTATGACAATGAAACAGACTACAATTCTTGGCAAAAGGGCTAGCAAAATGCATCATTGAGTTTGACAATTCTGTACCAGTCATTGTCAAGCTGGAAATCTGGGTAACGGTAAAGCTGGGGTCACCGTCAGGCGTCAGCATATAGGTATCAGTCGGGCAAACTGCAGGGAGGTACTCTAAAATAAGATTTATCTAATTTAAATATGACGTCACCCAAATGTGCTGAGTGATGACCATATAAGGAGTGATGATCAATATTTAGACTATATTTCCGACATGTCCACATTTGAACCCTTCACAACCATCGAAGAACTGCTCATAACCACATTTTTTTTTTTTTTGCTGACTGACAGACAAAACATGATCCTACAAATTGTGAACTGGCCAGCTCATTTGAGATTGGAATTTGTCACTGGTGACCAAGATATTTGGGCATTAGTAGAGCAGATGTTACACAGAGGTTTTACAACTGAGGAGAAGTGCTCATATGCTTCTTGCTTCCAGAGATGCTTCTTTTTAACACCAAACCAAACCTTACCTGACATAATCTAACCTAGAAGTCAGCATACAACCTAAAACCCTACAACCTACAAACCTACAGCTGTGCCTCTCCTTGGTTGGAAACCCTTCCTATGAGCATCCTGCTCTCTTTGTCTATTGATCTACTTGGTAAGCATAAGCGCCTTCATTTGACATCTGCTCTACTAGTGCCGTTAATTTTAATTTGTAACCTAACCAAACCTAACCTAACCCAAACCCTGCTCATAACTGTGATAAGTTGCAGTCCTAACTCCTAACATCACTTTGATTCTCCTCAGCCAATTACATCAAGAGGGAAACCACACTGACAGGGGTCCAAGATCCAACTCAGGCCCTTTTGTAAGTGTGGATGTCCTGACCTGTAGCCAGAAGCACTGCCACTGGAGCACAGCAGCTAATTCCCTATCTTCCTTCCAGCTCCACAATGGTCTGCATTTCTGCAATGGTCTCAACAGGCCTTACTGAACACAAAAGGCATTTTCACTTGCTAACAGTTTAAGACTAATATTATTCTAAAAAAGGTTGTAAAGCAATGTATAATGAAATAGATATACGGTGTATATGAATAGAATTAGGTGTGCTGAGACTTGTACTTTATGAACTTGAACAGTGAACACTAGAGTAACTAATTCAACTATTTCTTGTTATTCAGACTGTCCGCCAGTGGACGGAGGCCCGGCGACGGACGCTGGCTCAATGGCCAACAGTGGCACGCCCGCCGGCTGATGGTGGCTCGCCGACCGACGCCGGCCCGTCGGCTAACCACGGCCTTCCGGCTGATGGTGGCCCGCCAGCCGACGGAGGTCCGCCGGCCATTCGTGGCACGCCCGCCGACGGCAGCTCGACGACACGTCCTGGCTATGTCACCCCCAAGATTACTTCGCCCCCCAGTCCCTAGGTGAGTGGCTGGAGAGTGGAGAGAACTTTGTGTGTTGCCGGGACGGGATGTCTGCTAGTGCAGATGCCGTTGCAGGGGTCGTGACGTATGGTGGGTCTCAGACTCGGGCCTCGACTTTTGAGTGAGAAACGTATAAACAGGCTAATGTATTGCAATTATGGGCTATGGCTAAGCAGTGGCGTATCCAAGGGGGGACCCTGGGGGTCCTAGGATCCCCCCTGGAGCAAAAAAAATATTTTTTTTACTCGAAAAAAATTGAAAACACTTTGAGGGCCCTTTTCACCACTTACATTTTTTTTACATAATGAAAAGTATCAATTACATTTTTAGGGACCCTTTTAGGACTATCAGAGGACCCCTTTAGGCCAACGAGGGACCTTGTAGAGTAAATTAAGGGCCCTTTACAACGATCAGGACCTTCTCAGGCACATAGAGGGCCCTCTCAGACACACAGAGGGCCCTCTCAGGCTTTCAGAGGGCCCTCTCAGGCACTCAGATGGCCTTCTCAGGCACTCAGAGGGCCCTCTCAAGCACTCAGAGGGCCCTCTCAGGCCCGAGGGCCCTCTCAGACATCTCGAAGAGGTCGAAAAGAGCCCTCTGAGCTCACAGAGGGCCCTCTGAGATAAAAAAGGGCCCTCGGAGGCAACAGAGGGCCCTACAATGCAACAATAGAGCCCACTGTGGTCACCAAAGGGCCCTCTGAGGCGAATAGGGGGTCCTTTTAGGCAAACAGAGGGCCCTTTGAGGCAAACAGAGGGCCCTTTGAGGCAAAGGGCCCTCTGAAGGGGCGAATAAAGGAACCCTCTGAAACGAACGGGGGCCAGAGCCCAGAGGGCCCTCTCAGGCACTCAGAGGGCCCCTCAAACACTCAGAGGGCCCTCTCAAGCACTCAGAGCCCAGAGGGTCCTCTCAGGCACTCAGAGGGCCCTCTCAGGCACTCAGAGGGCCCTCTCAAGCACTCAGAGGGCCCTCTCAGACATCTCGAATAGGTCGAAAAGAGCCCTCTGAGGTCAAAGAGGGTCCTCTGAGATAAAAAGGGCCCTCGGAGGCAACAGAGGGTCCTCCAATGCAACAATAGAGCCCCCTGTGGTCACCAAAGGGCCCTCTGAGGCGAATAGGGGGTCCTTTTAGGCAAACAGAGGGCCCTTTGAGGCAAACAGAGGGCCCTTTGAGGCAAACAGAGGGCCCTCTGAAGGGGCGAATAAAGGGACCCTCTGAGACGAACGGGGGACAGAGCCCAGAGGGCCCTCTCAGGCACTCAGAGGGCCCTCGCAGACCCCGAGGGCCCTCTCAGACATCTCGAATAGGTCGAAAAGAGCCCTCTGAGGTCAAAGAGGGCCCTCTGAGATAAAAAAGGCCCTCGGAGGCCACAGAGGGCCCTCCGATGCAACAATAGGGCCTCCTGAGGTCACCAGAGGGCCCTCTGAGGCGAACAGAGGGTCCCCTGAGGCGAATAGGGGGTTCTTTTAGGAAAACAGAGGGCCCTTTGAGGCAAACAGAGGTCAGTGGGCCCCCTCAGACACCTCAAAGATGTCAAAAAAGCCCTCTGAGGTCAAAAAGGGCACTCTGAGATAAAAACGGCCCCCTCAGGCACCTCGAACATGTCAAAAAAGCCCTCTGAGGTCAAAGAGGGCCCTCTGAGATCAAAAAGGGCCCTCGGTGGCCACAGAGGGTTCTTTCATGCAACAATAGAGCCCCTGAGGTCACCAGAGGGCCCTCTGAGGCGAACAGAGGGCCCTCTCAGCCACCTCAAAGAGGGCCCTCTGAGATCGAAGAGGATTCTCGGAGGCCACAGAGGGACCTCTGATGCAAAAATAGGGTCCGCTGAGGTCACCAGAGGGCCCTTGGAGTCGAACAGAGGGCCCTCTGAGGCGAATAGAGGGCCCTTTTAGGCAAACAGAGGCCAGAGGGCCCCCTCAGACAGCTCGAAAGGGTCAAAAAAGCCCTCTGAGATCAAAGAGGGCCCTCTGAGATCAAAAAGGGCCCTCGGAAGCCACAGAGAGCCCTCTAATGCAAAAACAGGACCCTTTGAGGCCACTGGAGGGCCTGCTGAGGTGATTTCAGGCCACCACATGAGCCCTACGAGGTCATCAGGCCATCTCAGATCAAAGAGGGCCCTCCGAGGACTCAAAGAGGTGTAATGATGCAAATATAGGGCCCTCTGAGGGCATTGGAGGGCCCTCAGAAGTGAAATGAAGGCTATTTCAGACCACCTTGGTCCTTGAGCCGTATGACAGGCCCTCTGAGGACAAAGAGTGCCCTCGGAGGCCACTGAATGGCCCTCTTAGGCTGACTCAGGGCCTTTAAGGAGAATAGAAGGCCCCTTGGGACTATTGGAGGACCCTTTCAGGCTAACGGAGACCTTATATGACGCCAGCAAAGGTCCATCTGAGGTCGATTGAGGCCTGAGGGTCCTTTAAGACCACCAGAAGGGCCCTCTGAGGGCAGGCTATGAAATAAGCATGCTTATTTTGTTTAAAGCTCAATGTTATAGCACAAAGCGATCTGCTAAGCCTTTAATGGGCTATCAGGAGCCCATTAAAGGCATAGCAAGGCTTTTTTGAATACCACCAGGCTAAGTGTGCGACAGGAAACGCTATGAGCTATGAGTTATCGTCGCCGTGGCGGAAATTTGAGGACCGTCGCAACCTGTGACGTCGCCGTGACTGCTAATTGACGGTCGCCTTGGATCGTGTGTAACGGTCACTGTGCCTGGTATGTGACGGCCGCCGTGATTGTTTATAACGGCCGTCGCGACTGAAACGTGACGGTCGTCGTGAGACCTGACGTGAGACCTGACGTGTCGCTGTGTCACAGGCCACCAGTTGCGGGCGCTCCATCTGACGGTGTCGTCCGACGGCTCCACGGTGACCACAGCGCCGCCACTGCGGAAACCATCCGACCCCGAAAATGCTGCTAGCCGTACACGAACAAAGGGCGCCGGGCACCCAGGACCAGCGCCCTGCTCCGAGGCGGTGTCCAAAGAAGGCTGCACAGTGCACTTGCTGTGCTAAGGCATAGTGCCCGCTGACTGATAGGAACAAATGACGGTTATCAGATTTCAGTATGGAACTCAAGATGGTCGGAGCCGACCTGGCTCGGTGGATGGTGTGCCAGGGTTGATTAAGTGTCGAAAGGAGTGAGACGCCCAGATATGTGAAGTAGGGTGTGTCATATCAAATATTTTTGTCTCAGATCAAGCGCTTCCGCAGATATTCCTTGTCCCTGGGTTCATTGAAGCCCATTGGCACTGTTCTTTTTTCGCTGCACCGAAAATTCAGGCGGCGCGGGCCCAATCAATTTCGATATTTCCCGTGGCGCCCGGCGTTGAAGTCTCCATACTGAACACAATGCGTACCGTAGCGCTAACACCAGCCATATGACTCGCCGTCGGCCTGTAGCGGCCAACACCGTTTGACGGTTAAAATTCGATTGCTATTTCTTGTTTAAGTGGACGTCGGACGAAACATACTGCTATCTTAATGTGTTAAGGCCATTCAGGGACCCACAGATGATCCATATAATAGGACATAGGCGGCGGAACGGGGAGGGCACCGGGCCGCCTTTGATTTTGGTATCTTAACATTAGCCCTATGGGCGTTGCATGGAAAGAATGGGACCAAAAGTCGGCAGTGCTCCCCCCCCCCTTAATTGAAGGTGTTCCGCCGCTACTGTATTAAATAGGATCACGCTGCAGCCTTGGCAAGACTATCACGAGTGGGGCAGGGAGAATGAGAGCACGGATGGACAGAGGGCAACGTGAGCGGGGTCTCGGGTATCACCCCTCCGTCGGCAACACAACGTGTCGGCTTTCGAGTCATGTGCTGTCTCCCTGAGACACACGAGCTTGCAAAGAACGTGAGTCAGTCTGGTTTCAGCTGCAGCGTGAGCAGAAGTGCGTGTGGCGCAATCGAATCGGACTATCCGTGCCGCAGTGATGCCGTGGTGAAGCAAGGCGAAACATTTTGTTATCGGGTCTCCCAGTGTGCTGCGGGTAAATCATCTGCCTACCAACAGAGATGTAGTGAACTATGTGAGACTCTTGGCAGAGAATAGAAAAAGAGAGCAGACAGTCACCGCATGTTTACGTGAAGCAGCGGAAGTGGTGGTTGCAATGTGGTTGAGTGAGGGCATACATTACCAACGATACAAATGCACAATGTGGTTCGGAAGGTAAAGCAAGTTTACGAAAGATTTCGCCGATCGAACAAGGTGTCCGAAAGAATGTGGGAGAGACAAACGAAACAAAGTGTTTCTGAAGCGAGTCTGTTTCGTAAGCTTTTTGACATCGCCCGCTGCCGCTGTAAAGATCGGCGAAGCTTTACCTGTCCGCTTTCAAACCGGGTACCGCCAGCGGAAATAGCATTCCTTCGAGACCAGAGAGGAGTTTGGAAGATGAGACTGGTTGGTGTGGACTACGAGGAGACGAGGAAACGACGTAAGACTGCGAGCCTTAGAATGAGACGGGAGCGGAACGAGGGGAGGGGCGACGTGGGTCAAGCTGGTCCTTCCCACCTCCGTACCTATTCCAACGGCGTCAATATCGACGAGACAGGCCAGGTAGACTCGTCGGCAACGACCGACACCAACGACAGTAATGAAGACTTCACAAGTGAATTTGAGATGAAGGAATGCATCAAAGACTCAAACGATGATGATATGACAAACACTGCACTGGCAGCTGACTGACAGGTATGGTTTATCCAACCGTGCTGTAGGGGCCGTCATCAATGGTTTTTAGATGGATGTCGGTCGCGTAGCGAGCGGCGAAACAGAATTGCTGGTCGACCCGAAAAAAGTATGGAGAGAAAGATGCCGGATGAGACAAGCTGCCAGCTGCACTCGAATGAGCTTGTACTCAGGGAAGTTTTCCAGAACTTGGACGGCAAAACCAGTGGACCCGGATCATTCACGGGGCCGTTGGGCAAGGGAGCCGGCGCCTCCGTGCACCGTCTTTCTCCCGTGAAGTTCCCACCGGTGAGCGGCCCAGAGCTGGATCTGCCGGACAACATCATCGCCGACCTCAGCAGCGGCAAACTCCTGCTGTATCAGCTCACCAGAGCCGTGCGGACGGGCAACATCTCCGCAAAGGAGGCCTGCAAGAAAATCGGTCCCCTGAACCATGTAAGGTAGGCAAATGCTAATTGAGTTGAATTCAGTTTGCTATTGAATGGCAAAGATGCATCTTTTCTGTGAAGCCGTTGTCTAAATAGAGGAGACCGCCTCGTTTGCATTGCTTACATCCGTATTGACAGCGTCTGTCGACGCTAACAGGCGAAGACGCGCGCGGCTGGTGTTAGTGTCATCAAACGCATTACGCCAAACATGGAGACTGCAACGCCGGGCGCCAAGATAAATCCCGAACTTCTTTCAGCTGGCGCCGATCGAATTTTCGATGCATGGGAAAAAGAACTGCACTAATGGGCTTCCATAGACACAGGGACAAGGAAAATCAGCGGAAGCGCTTGATCTGTTTCTAGTGACACACCCTAATGTGAAGGATACGTCGATACGAGCCCCGGCTTCGACTCCCCGTCCCAAAACGATGTTGGTTGTGATTGGAGGATCCCCCCCCCCCACCCCACCCACCCCGGAATTTGTGCTATGTAATAGGACGATAATATGTCGTGGTCTCATTCTGGCTCGATATGGTAATAGGTACTTAATTGGACAGATGTTGATGGTATTGGTGGTGGATGTAAATGGCAGGTTTGGCGAGCGCGAATTAAAAATCGTGAGTGCACTAGCTGCAATCAGTCGCGCGCTTATTGCTGAGCACCTGTGAGCAAGAAAATTATATGAATGTGGTAGTTCGTCGTGAAATCTGCTTTTGGATTAAGTTGTCAGAACATAAGTGTATTTTTGCCGTGTCCACTGCAGCTCTGAAACAGAAACATGGAGATCGGCTGTGTGCTGTAGCTGCGGGGGCAAGTAGTCCGCGCGTGCCAAAAAATCAAAGGTGGTATGTGAATTTAAGTGAATATACCTCGCCATATTTTCAATTTTATTATTACAACAAATGCGTCGACTGCTGATTACCCTCGGGTCCTAACAATAACGTTTGCGATACTGGAAAGTACATAGACAATAGATACCCTTGCGACCGACTGGCGCGATCCGAGAATCTCTCACTGTTTTTGCTGACCTACACACGAAAACACGGCCGAACAGCTACCATCGAGAGCACGGAACGATGCTGGTGACTGACGGACCAGCGAAAATAGAGCTCCCGTCTACTCGCGGAACAGCGCTGATTGGCGCGGCTCACAGACTCCATTGGCTCATCAGAGTTCAGACTGTTGACGGTTGTTGCTCCTCCCTCCCCTCCCCGAGAGGGCGTAGCCAAGTAGCTTAGTTGTGTGCGCAGCGGGCGGTCTTTTTGCATCTGTGTAACCGTTGAGTGGATGGTATCCAGACGAGCTAGGCGTCGGCGTCGCCCTTCCAGCGGCCGGGCAGCACAGGTGGACGTGCCGCGGATGGTCCGCCTCCGATCTCGGCACTCTCTGCAGAGTGCGGCTGGACGCTCCACGGAGTTGCATAGCGTCGATAGGCTGTATGGTGTCGCTGTCGTAATTATAAAAGCGTAGGTAGAAGGTTGAAGCAATATAGTTAGAATGCTATCTTTTTCGAGCTTTGTTGCACATAACTTAGTAGGTATTGGCCGTTTCTTTACAAATAATATCGCAAAGCACAGCTTTATGTGCTGGTAACGATATGTGCGCGTCGGTTGCGGCGGTAATCGTCGAAAAATATATAATTTATGAACGTTTCTTGATCATTGAATGATAAACGTGGCAATGTTTGCCTGTTGTGAAGAAGACTCCTATACTGCCGCTCTATCGTCCGGAATTATTCGTGTCTGATTACGGGGATTCCGCCACTCTATCAGCTGATTTTTGTTTCCGAGTCACGTGACCAACCGGTGTCTCCCTGCCGACCGGTTTCTCCCTCATGCCACAGCACGCACACGAGGCGGCGTGCTGCAGCTCTCTACGAAGGGCAGCATCGGCAAGAGAGTTAGTTACCTTCATCATGTCTGCAGACAGGATGATCTCATCTGGATCCCACTGACAATCAGCGTCCGCACGGTAGGAATGGCGAGCCCTCTGTGCCGTTTCCAGGTGTTCCTCGTGTTTGGAGCACAGGTCACAGTCTTGCCTATTTGCATTTGGCTCAGTTATGTTTTCTCCGTGCGCCTCTTCCATGTGTCTGATGTGTGTGGAACACTTGGCGCATTCTTCCCCTGACAGCCCATGGTGTTGCCGATGTTGAGACGTTGCATCGTCTGCCTGTATCGTTCTCGTGAACAAGCCGGTAGCGTTCCTTCAGAGTAGACACACCCTGCAAGTAGTCACTGAACATTGCCTGGAGGGTGACGTCTGTTGGCAGGTAAAGGCGATGCGGAGCATGCTCATAGCGATAGTGGTGTTTCACGGGGTGAAACGACATATGTTCCACGATCTTTTCGTCAGTTACTTTGTTCACTGGTTCGGGTCGCTCGCGTATGTCAGTAGCGCAGATGGGGCCCTTCCCCACAGCACTCATCCCGCAGAGTCGCTGCCCTCATTGAAGCCAAGGGTGGTAAGAAAGAACGGCTTGCAAACCTCAACGCACCGCCTCAGCATACCATTTCCCGTTCCCAGCTCCCGATCCCGTTCGTCTTCGTCTTCAGATCCTGATTGCTCTTCAGATTCCGCGTTTCGTGCCAGAGGATCCACAGGCGACGTCCACGAAAAGCTGTTCTTCTTGCGGGCGTCGGCTTTCCCTCTGTTTTCCTTTCGTTGACAGCGAGCCGGCAAACTCTGCACATGTGTACGGTACCACTGCCTTCTAGTCTCCTTACTCATCTTATTAACTGCCTCGTTTATAGATGTTCTCCAGCCAGGAGGAATCTTCAACAGACACTTGTTCTTGCACCCGCGTCGGCACTTTTCTGGTGCATCTCTGACCTGGTGTTTGGCAGCATGCGCGGCTATCTGTGCTACTTGAGTTCTGGGGCGCCTTTGCTTGGCTTCGGGTGAATGATCGACCTGATGGTGCTCTGTAACCGAAGGTTGGCTCTGGCTGCTGTCACCATCTCCCCCTCTGTATTCAGTCAAGGAAGTCACACTCTGAGAAGCATTGCATTCGGGAGTGTCATTCAGCATGTCCGGTGCCTCAATCAGAGGTGCAATCTCCATGACTGCGGGCACCTGTTCTGTAAGAAGCTCGCTCATACTGAAATCAAGCTCTGGGAGAGTTGCATAGCTTTCTTCACCCCTGTCCTCCAATTCGACAATCGATATCGCACCGCTGCCCTCCGGGTTGGGGTCGGCCACCGGAACGGCGACTCCCGGCCTGGGGTCGGCCACTGAACCGGCGACTCCCGGGCTAGGGTCGGACACTGAACCGGCGACTCCCGGCCTGGGGTCGGCCACTGAACCTGCGACTCCCGGGCTAGGGTCGGCCACCGGACCATCGAATACCGGGCTGGGGTCGGCCACTGGATTGGCGACTCCCGGGTTGGGGTCGGCCACCGAACCAGCGACTCCCGGGCTGGGGTCGGCCACCGGACCATCGACTAGCGGGCTGGGGTCGGCCACTGGACCGGCGACTCCCGGGTTGAGGATGGCCACTACATTGGTGACTCTCGAGCTGGGGTCGGCCGGTAACACCACTGGATCGGCGACTCCCGGGCTAGGGTCGGCCACTCCCGGGCTGGGGTCGGCCACTGGACCGGCGACTCCCGGGCTGGGGATGGCCACTGCATTGGCGACTCTCGAGCTGGGGTCGGCCGGTAACACCACTGGATCGGCGACTCCCGGGCTGGGGTCGGCCGGCGACACAACTGGATCGGCGACTCCCGGGCTGGGATCGACGAGACTGGAGCATCCAGAATCGGAATGGGCCGGTGACGACACCGAAACGGTGACCCCAGAAGAGTGTGCTTCTGCCGTCGCGGGTGTGTGAGAGTCGTCTTTTCTCATTTCCTCCTCAGGAACATCTGAAAATTACAGGTACGATTGGTGTTCGCCCTACAGTGTATCTACCGGGTCGTTGGTAGAAAATTAGTCATGCATTTATTAGTTAGTTACTCCATATGCGCAGGCTGTTACGGTCCTTATCTCCAAGTAGTTAGGACCGTAACAATGGTGTGACAGAGGGCTTCCTAAGTTAACGTTTGCCTAACAACGCACATATTTGTTACATTAAAATCTACTAAAAAAAAAGTTGAGATACCCTACCACACACGAACACTAGGTACGTGACGCACCGAGGTCCACAAGCAAATCAAAGAAAACACATAGGAATTAACCATAAAATGAATTAGATTTTAGAATATCTCTGCCCTTAACTCATTTGAAGTCGATTTTACAATCCTTTGTTATAAATTTGAAACTGATATTTTTAATACGCCAAGCGACCCACGACTAGAGGCCGGAACTTACCATACGCCAGCCGTCTTTTTTTCTTCGCAGCTATAGTCCCCGTCCAGTTTTCACCATTGTAATGCATCTTTACTCTGCCTCCAGCTTCCAGTTTCGATCCATCCACGTAGTACAGTCGTGTACAGGTTGATGGTCCCCCACTCTTTATCCACCAGGTTCCTATGGCTCAGCATTGGCAGCAGCCGCCTGGTACCGGTAGGCTGTGCCGCATGACCCGAGAGTGAAGCGGCACAGTCTACCCACGCCGTTTGACATCGGCTCGGGTCGCCGGGTGGAGCGCTTTGTAGACCAGAGCTGTCACGTCAGACCAGCGCGGGGGGAGGGGCTCGTCTCGGTGGTTGGGGTGGGCTGGCGAGTGGTGTGGGGCGTGTTGGTGGACCATGGGGGCTGGGCGGGTGTGTGTGGTCACTTGCTGCATTGCACATTTTGCGTCGCTTAACAATTGCATTCCTGTTTTTGCTAAGCACAATGCACGGAAGACCCAGCGAATATAATTTACTTGTGCATTGTGCAAAACGTGATTTGGCACGGTATCGAGGCAACCATAGGTCTTGTGCCACATATATGCATGATATTTAGGCAATACGCTTATGAAAATGGTAGATTGATCGGATTGATCCTGGATGTCAATTCGTATGCTAAATGTCGACATGTCAAACGAACGAATGAATGAATCAATCAATCAATCGACAATCGACATGTAGATATAAAACCGTATAAATGGCTCGCAAGTCGCAACCACTAAAATCAAACCAGATCCTAACTCGGAGAAGTAGCCGGTGCCCGATGAGGCTCGAACCGGGACTCCACGTTGAAAGTTTTGCCAATGATCCATCATCATTCCACCAAGCTAGAGCGACCGGCACCCGAAACCACAAAAAAACATTCATTGACTTTGCTGCCGACCTCCCGGCCCCGCCGCCCGCCCGGCCAGACTTTGCCCCGGCCGTGGCCACCATCCCGTGTAGCTCAGCGTAGGAGTGCTAGACTGTCAAACTGACCGGTAGTGAGAGGCCCGGTTCGAGACGCTTCGCGTGCTGGATGTTTATTTTTGTGTCCGAGGCTATGCGATTAGTCCACTTTTCAGAAAAATTATTTGGTGACAGGTCTGTTTTCTTTCTGCTGCAATTCATGAGGAGACCGTATGGACCCTTACCTGTCCTTCCGCACCCCATTTGTAAGATGGGTGTTTGAACCCCCCTGGGTTGTGAATATCTCTAAAGCGAATTTTTGGAGGGTGGATTACGATCGGTTCTATGCGACAAGCGACCACACACACCCAGCCCCAGGTCCGCTCACTCCCTCCTCACATCACCCCCGCCCCACACCACACTCCAGCCCGCCTCATCCACCGAGCCGAGCCAAATAGACAGACCTGACCCTTACCCCCCCTCCCCCCAGCCGGTGTAACGCAGCGTCCGGTCAAATCGCTCTTCCAGGCGACCCGAGCCGGTGTCATACAGTGCACGGGTAGGCTGTGCCGCTTCACTCTCGGGTCATGCGGCACAGCCTACCGGTACCAGGCGGCTGCTGCCAATGCTGAGCCATAGGAACCCGGTGGATAAAGAGTAGGGAACCATCAACCTGTACACGACTGTACCTTGAGGTCGCCGATTGCAACGTAATGCCATTTGCCGAGGGACTCATCCCAATTAATGCGGACTACTCTTTTATTTTTACGTTTTTTTTTCGTCCATTTCAAATAAAGTTACACATAGGCAACTGTAGCAAGTTTTCGCTTAAGATGAAAATAACAAGTTTTCGCTTAAGATGAAAATAACAATCACTGCTCCGAAACGCCTTCGAACCCGCCGCCGCCCATGAAATGAACAATTGGCGCGAGTAGCAATGGCGGCGCCAGACACACATGTCGTGGGGTGGGATGAATCTAGACACTATAGATTCAGTATTTTATAATTCTTGATGACGTCAAATTTTGATACCTATTACATGGGTGCCTACTGCCTATGCAATATGCATGTTATATATTTCCTCCCAAAAACTAGAACCTGGCGACGCCCCTGCACGATGTACAGAAAGTGGGGCAATGCCCTGGAAAAAACACGTATGTCAATCATACAGTGGAGAAGTCCGAGCGGCAAAACCACGTACCTATGTTATAACATACGTGGTTTAGCCAAGACATAGGAACATACGTGTTTCGTGCGTCTGGCAGAAACACGTATACTGCAACATACGTGGATATTCCGCGCGATTTGAGACATACGTTGTTTTGGCTTTACCGACGCGATACTTTTTATAACATACGTTTTTTGTGATATGAAAAAATATTACTATTTTCTTTATTTTCAGGATTATGAAAATAATACCAGTATAACGCCTTTTGGGGCGACTAACGGAGCGAGCGAGAGGGTGGGCCTTGCACGTGCGAAATTGCGAGGGGGTACCTCCAACTGACTTGTGCATGGCATCCTACTAACCGGTCTCTAGCGATGTGCCAAATTTGGGCACAATCGGCCCAGCCGTTCTCGAGATCTGGAAGCGGCACCCTGCACGTGCGCACGTGCAAAATGGGTCCCAACTGACTTGTGCACGGCACCCTACTAACCGGTCCCTAACCGTGTACCAAATTTGAGCGCAATCGGTCCAGCCGTTCCCGAGATCTGGAAACGACCCCTGCACGTGCGCACGTGCAGCAGCACCCCAACTCTGGCACATGTATATGCAGTGCCTAGTGGGTGCCTACCTACATGCCAACTTTCAGCGCAATCGGCCAAGTAGTTACCGAGATATTGCAACAATTACAAAAGTGACACCTCTTCGTTTTGCACGTGGCACGTGCATAAGGGGTCACCCACATGCATCGGCAATAGTCCAATACTTGGTAGAAGGAATGAAGCTACCCTACAAAAATTACCGCGTGTAAATCGGTCAAGTGGTTGCTGAGATATAAGCCTCGCAAAAGCGTGACCACGGCCGGCCGGCCGGCCGGCCGGCCGCTCATACTCAGAAATTTCCGTTAATCTAAGGAAAGACTACGCTCGCTTCGCTCGCTCCGTAACCAGCAGCATCAGATGCGGCTTGCGGAGGCGGTTTCATTGATATAAAAAAACATTTTTGGCCCTAAAATGACATACGTGACTTTGCCTTTGCACGGCAGAACTGGGTCCTACCATAAACTATACATCTTGCACACTACACATTATTGCAAAATATGAAGTGAATAAAGTGAATGTTTCTTTACACACAGTAGCTTATGAGTATTCCCAGTGGGCAAAAGGCTGTTTTACATGATGCAACTAATGATACCTACAAGTAATTTGTATTTAATCGTTTTTAATCGTTAATTTGTATTAATTGACTTTTGGGGAACGGGTCCAAATGGTTCCGATTCCAACTTAGACCGGGTCCAACTGGTTCCAGTAATGTCCAGTCGGGTCTGGTTCGAGTATGGTTCCCAAAATTTTCATCTTTTGCCACCTCTATTGGAGACGTATGTGACAGTATCGAGCAGGGCCGCCTCGGTGGAGAGACCCAGGGTATATTGAGTGAAGGAGAGACCAGGACGGAAATCGTACTGTTCGGGGCACAGCATACAATGGCTGATGAGATAGTCCACGAACTGAGAGCAGAGCACACAACGCGTTCACAGAGCTTTGACATCACAGACAGTATTGAAATACTTCGGTAGTTGTTTGGATCATGCACATCACCGCCCCTGTGCAGAGGGATAACGCTTTATTGCGTAGTAATGATAGTACGCGACCGCGGTATTTTATTACTACGCATAGTATTTCGACCGCGGCCTTATTTTATAGGTTTACTTAACACACGCACCGACGGGGGTCTGCGCCAACTTCGTACCGACGGGGGGGGGGCGGGGAGCGGATGACCGCCCCCCCCCCCCTGAGATCTCGAGAACGAAGCAAGATAGCGACAAGCGGTAAACGGCATCGGATACGCACGGACAAGGTCTACAATTTTTACTTAGGTCATTTTCAGGTCAGGTCAAAGATGACGTCACAGGGGTCGAAAAAGTCAAAATGGCGGCGCTATGTAGACATGGCGAGTTTTTCTCGAATAACTTTCGAATTAGTCAAGATAGGAACAAACTAAGGGCATCATCATGATCCTCTCGTCAATCCGCATCGAATGATATATATGTTGACCTCGAAAGGTCAAGGTCAAAGGTTGACCTCAGGTCACGTGACCTCGAAGTCATCATGTATATCATTCGATGCGTCTTGACGAGCTGAACACAATGAGACCATCCGCGCGGCTGTATCTTGTTCCTGTACGGAGTTATTGGCAAAAAAACCGCTGGTGACCTTTGATGACGTCACATGACCTTACAGCTGCCCAACAGCAAAACAGACCTCAAGGTAGTGAAGGTTGATCGTATATGAAGTCATGTATGGTATATGGGGCCATTCCGACCCGTTTTAGTGGTAAAAACAGGGAGTTGATTTTTCCCCCATCGACTTATAATGGGGAGGTCGCGAAATTGACCTGACCTTAGGTCACCGACATCAAAATTCCGAGATATACAAATTGTAGCTACTAATGACCTAATAACATCCTGCGACTTTCAAAGGCCTCCTCCGACATCTACTGTAGCTCTGGCACGGTGACAAAGTTGCAAAAAAGTGACTTGAGGTTGGGTCATTCAAAGTGACCTGGTGACCTGACCTTAACCCTCGCCGGCACAGGCCATTTTGAGTCCTTCGACGGCACAATGGGGGGGGGGGGGTACGACCCCCCCTCGCGTTTGGCCCCTGATCGAGCTAGAGCTTCGCGGAAAAAACGAGCGTGTTGCCCGTCACGAGAGGAAGCCGATGATACCCAATTTTAAGGTCCTAGGTCATCGGGTGACCTTCCAGGTCAGGTCAATGACCCGAAAACCGGGAAAATCGGGACCTGTTAGAAAGTCGTAAAGTGGGGCTGCTATATGGTTTTCCGGGGTGCTGATCACGAATATCGTGTTAGTTTTGATCAGAGATGATGTCTTTAAGCATTTAGACCAGGTCGGGTCAGGTCAGGTCAGGTCAACCGGTAGGGGTTGTGACGGGTATTCGTAATACGTGTCAAAGGCCTCGGACAGCTTCGTAACGTGTTACGAAGGCACCAAAACTACTTCGTAAATGTTCAAATGGTTGCTAAATTCGAATTCAGCTCAAAAAACTAGCCTAGAAACATGTAAAACTCGAAAAAGTGAACCGAGGTATCCCGAGGTCACCAAAGGTCAATGACCTGACCTGACCTTCAGATGACCTTGACACCCACCCTAATGCATGGGAGCAACATCAAATCACATGTTTGAACGTTTGAAACCACGAAAAGCTTGCAAACGCGCGGCTAATGCGAGCCGACATGCGCCGAACCGCGATTTCGGCCAAACATGGTCACAGAAAAGAGTCACAGGTCAAAGGTCATTGGGGTCAGGGTCATGAAATTTTCAGGGTAGGTGTAAAATTGATCAATGCGAGGGTACTGAAAGTTTCGTCGCGATCGGCCGCTTTTTACGCGAGTTATTCGCGAAAAACCTTAGCAACCCCCCCCCCCCTGTGCCGGCGAGGGTTAAAAGTTAGGAAGTTCAAACCATGTTCAAACTTGCACACCATGTGTAAAATTGATGAGAGAATAGTCGTACCAAATTTCGCGGCGCTCGCGCGCGGTTTTCCCGCTATAAGCGAAAAACCTCAGGGGGGGGGGCGGATATCCGCCCCCCCCCGTCGGTGCGCGTGTTAACAGCGACGGCGGATTTATTATAAAATAACGGGAGCCGGTCCGTTTGTCGACCAGCGCGGCGGCGGCGGTCGCGGGCTAAGAGGACGGAGCTAGCAGCTCACTACGTAGGTTCACACTAGAGATGTCAATCGGATACCAACTTTTTGGTATACCGATACCAAACCGATACCAACTCGGTATTTGGTATTTCAATCCTAATGTGTTTGGTATTTTGTTGGTATCATGAACTCTCGCTAATGTTTGAGAGGCTAAGAAATCGGTAAAAAGTTGGTATTTTCCTCATGTTCCCAAGTTGGTTTGGTTTCGGTATTTCTCCACGGTTTTGGTTGGTATTTGGTTTGGTATCGGTATTCCGATTTTCCGTAATTGACATCACTAGTTCACACTTCACAACTCTGTTCAGTGGCAGTCACAGAGATTGGACTCCAGGGTGCTCAAAGGACCGAGGTGGATGGATGTTTCAGTCTTTCAATGCTAGGGAGTATGCTGTGGTGGGTAGAATTGTGACACATAAGAGAAAGTTGTAACTGAAACACGTAGCTGTGCGATCCTCGCCTTTGACGATGCATCTCACCGTCACTAAAGAGCGCTAGCAGCTAGGCTTTGTTCGATAACAGAAGTGCCGCACATTATTTCAGCGGTGCCCCGCACGTGTTACTAGCAACAGCTCAATTTCGGGTGTTTGACCTGACCCAGATCCGAACGGTGATCTTAATATTCAATTTTAAAGTACTAATCAGAATCGTCTAATCGCTAGCTTTCATTTTCCGCCCCGCCAGTCTCGCTGCGGCTATTCGTTCTCTTGTTATCGGCTGGGAGCGTTTAACCCCTCCCCCTCCCTAAAAATTTACTGTACCAGTGGTTGTAACATTTTGCCTGTGTTTATTTCGAGCCATTACCACAACTATTCGGCTATAATTATAGTCGGCTATAATCCGGCCATATTCGGCTATAATTATAGTCGCCTAGTGTACCCTAGTGCCCATGCTTGAAACAATTGGCGAATGCCCAGGCCCGTGAGTGTGCGTAGGATGCAAATGTGTATGCGCATTCATAGGCGGCGGAACGGGGAGGGCACCGGGGCACCGTGCCCTCCTTTGATTTTGACATTAACATTAGCCCTATGGGAGTTGCATGGAAAGAATGGGACCAAAAGTCGGCAGTGCCCCCCCCCCCCTTAACTGAAGGTGTTCCGCCGCTACTGTGCGCATTGCGCGCGTTATCGACATACAGTTTAAGAACACATGATGACAGTCTTATCGATGCATTTTGAGCCTATGAACATCATGAGACTATGTTGAAACACTATAACTTAAGTACAAATAATCCTATACGTAGCTTACACTGGGAAGCTGCTCCATGCTCAAATGCATATGTGAACTCCAATGATATGACACACATGATACCACCAGCATTTGTGAAGCATCTCCACAGACGATCGACAGAGAAGCGCCGGAGCGCCGGAGCCAAGAGGCAGCGGCGGGCCGGGGCCGGCGTCAGCAGGGGTCGCCGTACACGGCCACTAGGTAGTTGTGCGGCGCCTGCTGCAGACCCACGGTCGCCGAGCCGGCACACACGAAACTGAACGCCGGTGACGCGTCGGCGTCGCTGAAACACACCACACGGCACTGTGTTCAATACTGTACCGGGTCGCAATGTGGAGCAGTCGCGAGTCGTCCTCAAAACGGACAGACGAGCCCGCTACAGCACAGCCGTTCTGCACTAATTGAGCCCTCGACCCATTCTGATAAAGCGGGACTAACAGGGTGAGCTGAATTTATTCGTAATGTTCTATTACAAAGTAAAGACATACTCATCACTTTCTGAGCAAAAAACAAAACAAAACAAAACAAAACAAAACAAAACAAAACAAAACAAAAACAAAACAAAATGGTTTCCATAAGACAAAAATGAGGAACTGAGGAAGTGGAAAATGATGTACATTTTCCTGAAAATGTATACCCCTAGGCCCTAACCCCATTCATAATTATTCTTTTACAGTGTACTACATGTGCATCAATTTCCGATATTTTTGCCGACAAAATTTCTATTCAAATTAACATTCCGTGCCATCATTTTGCTACATGAGCAGAAACTCACAAAGCATCACAGGGAAAATAAATCAGCATTACCGGAAACGCGACTCATGTGAAGAGAGTCGCTGGGCATGAGGTGAGTCGCGCCTACTTGAGTGCTGAGAGCAGAACCGAATGGAGTTTCCTTCATGGTGCCTGATATTAACCCATTAGATACGCTTGGCAGCTTTTGCTGCCACAGGACAAAATAGCGCCGCATTCCTAAACGTTGCGGTGAACTTTCAAAGTTCTCACCCGAACGGAAGACCAAAACAATGCACGACATGTGCGCTCCGAATTATTGATCGAGAAAGCGAATGAGCTGAGAAATAAACAATTTATCGCGGGGGTGCAAGGGGCGCGCGATGGCGGCCGTGCGGCGGACACCAAAGAAGTCAGTTGCGAAGGTGGTGTGAATAAATGTTACCTTTTTATTATTGATTATTGTAAAGAAATGTGTGATTATCAATGGGAAGAGCTTAGGTGCGACATAAATTTCTCTAAGTACCGCCAATCGTGCGTTATATTTAAGTGGCAGCAAAAGCTGCCAACCGTATCTTACGTAGTCAAAAATGGAGCAGTTACGTTCTTTTTGCTATGCCATTCGTAAGTGAGCAACAATGTCTGGCTTTATGGCTCATAGTGTAATGCCCCAGTTCTTTGCCTTTCCAAAAATGGTCATTACCGGGGTTTCTGCTATTTATTCTTGTCTGCAGAGCATTGCATACCGACACACTACCAGGCGTGTAATGTATTCCGCCATTGCTGAAGCAGGGACGTTGAACGGAGTGGTGCGGACAAACTGTCATCAGAGGCGCCATCCCTCAAAGGGCGCGCCGTCGCCTAAGGGAAGGTGGTGCCGTGGCTCTATAGATGAACGGGAAGAGGGGCGCCTCCTAGGCCTGTTGGGGCGCCTTTGAGGCCTAACTATGGGGTCGCCCCCGCCCCCCGCCCCGGTCCCGCCCCCCATGCAAAAGAGGGGCGCCTACGAAGGTCCTGGCCATAATGGCGCATCTGCACGAAAGAGGGGCGCCTGCATGCCGAAGAGGGGCGCCTATGAAGCCCAATGGGGCGCCTCTACGAGAAAGAGGGACACCTGTAAGGTCTATAGGGGTGCATGTAATGTCCATAGGGCACCTTTATGCGAAAAAGGGGCGCATTGCATATGAAAAAGAGGCGCATTGCACAAGAAAGAGGGGCGCCTCTGAGACCTATAGGGGCACCTTTGATGACCAAATGGGCGCTTACACGGGAAAGACGGGTGCCTATAAAGCTTAAAGGGACGTCCTCCATGTGAAAAAGGGGCGCCTGGGACTTGAGCGCCCTTCCGAGCTGTCCGAGGTCGCCGGAAAGTTCGTATATGTCCAGCTCCTGCTGCACTATCCTTCAATATAATTCGATTGGATTTAGGCCAGGACTGTTCCCTAGCCAAGTGTCCTTCCCCCAGATATCGGACAGATGGTCCTGACACCGCCTAGTTCCGGAAGATCGATGAGATGGATTACCGTCCAGCATGAAAATGCTGTCCGACCTGCGGGACACCAGGCGCCGTTGGAGCACGGGGTAGTGGTCTTTTAATGCCAATGCACGCTTTTTCAGTATGTTTTCTAGGTAGTAGTCGGGATCGACTTCGTCTTTTGCTAGATCACGTCCAGCTGGTTCAGCTCAGGCCCTGCTAGGACATCGTGATCGTTCGACATACCATTGCGGCGAGAATTTTTCGCAGAAGTCTGTCGGAACTTGGGCCGCGTTTTCAGCCCATGCTCGTTTTGGGGGTCCGTGTGGTGAAACCATTGAAACGGAGACTCGTCGCCGAACTAGACCCGCTTCTACATACCTACTCCGTTTCCACTCTTCTACCGGCCAGATTCTCCGTTTCGTACAAATCTGAGGGCTCTGGGCTTGCTGATTTTCGTTATTTTGGCCGCACCAATAGTCAAGCGCCTTCAGTCAAAGGGCGTTCCTCCCTTATCAATGGACAACATTATCCGAGTGATCATTATGAATAAGACTTCAGATTCTCCGCAGAATGGTCAGACTTCCCAGGTGCTTTCTTCATGGCGATCTTGGCGACGGTTGAGACGCAGGAGGACCATGCTGATTGGGGCTTATGCGTGACGCTACTTGTCCCTAAACTTCTTCCACCAGCGCTTGTTGGTGAAAACGGGGGCTTAGAAGTGTGAGGCAGCGTCCTTCCATGTGTTGCCACTTGCCAGCTTGGAGCATGCCAACAGCGCAACTACGAACCTCTCAACTGTAAAGCTAAACCTTCATGCTTAGGCGTTCAGTAAATGCGCCGTTCAATGGTTAAACAATTACCCATGCCAGTGAACCCCATTGGTAAAGGTCAGCTTTTCAGATAATCTCCGCTTCAGAGAAAGACTCAGGGACACAATTCGTTGAAAGGAACGCGATATTTAGGAGCACATTGGAAACACGCCAAGTTGCTTTAAATAAACGGTCGACGGAAGTCATCAAAACCTTCGTCGCATCCTATATAAGATATTGTGGGGAGGGAAAGCGCGTGTGAGCTGAAATAATGAGAGAAAGAACATGATCTCTCAGAACGAGCTGAACTGTTAGCTGAGGTCTGGATTTTGAGTTCATTATTCTTGAGAATTATTGGCTACGGTCGTTATTTGCAGGCTACGGTCGAATGGAAATCCGAACAATTGCACATATTCAAGATCATATCTGGTACGTAAATAAAATAGTTCGTGAATACTGTACATGCACCAACAGGAGACACTCTGTGGCAAAGGTTGTTGGTATCGAAAGATCATTTCCTCGCGGTTTTGATATGTTTGTGCTTTGAAATATGACAAACCACTCCATTTGTGACTATGTAAGATACGCTTGGCAGCAAAAGCTGCCAGACCGGAAACGTACACTTCCGGTTTCGTGATCTGGCTAAAAATGCACATGTATTCCCCTAAAGGGTGCCTGACAAAAATATGTTAAAATCGCAGTGAAAGTCGACAAAAAAAGTTTTCGGCTCTAATGGGTTAAATAAGAGAGCTGGATGTGCGCTGCCAGTGTATGCATCTTTCAATATCTTATCATAGATTAGTGATAACTGTATTACCGTGGTATGCCCTTCCCAATGTATACCAATAATTTCACATAAAAGAGTAAAACTAAAACAAATCCTGAAAACCAAAAACCTAATGCGACATTGGAAATGAGAGCTGATAATTTTATTGTCTTGAAAGAAGCCCTCAGTCTCTTGTGTTTTAAGTGTAACTCAAATAATTGAATATAGCTCTATGGCCCAATCTTACCAATGCCGTAAATAGGATTTGGCAGCACTGGCCGGAGTTTACGGCACTGATATCAAAGATGTCCTTTTTACTTATCTCCAGGCTCCAGCTAATCTTGTCCAAAGATTTTGATAGCGTGAATGATTATGAATGTCATCAGAACGAATGAATAAGTGAATGTGGAAAAGTTACGAATGTTACCAAATGCCGTGAATGCGCATTCACGGCATTTGGTAAGATTGGGCCAATGTTCGTTTTTTTTTTTCAAACGGACTCTGGCTTCAAGTTCATTATCGAATTTCTCACGTGTGACCAGGGTTGCCAGACTTGGCGATATGTCGCCAATTTGGCGAATTTTGAAAGTCATTGGCGATAGAAGCACGGCGTTTGGCGATAGGCGATAAAACGTCAAATATTGGCGAATTTCCGAGTTCGCCTCCAAATCACCGAATATTATTTAAAAAAATAAACAAAACAAAGCGAAAAACATCGTTACGAAATATTTCGTAATCTGATTAATTTAAACTTCCGACGTTTCATATTAGGCACTAAAATATAAAATCTTCCTGATGAAAATATCTTCTGAACCACATCTCGCACGACCTTTGCTCAGGGGTGGAGATCTGTCAAAATGTCAGGGGGGGGGTCCATGCCGGGCAGATGGAGGCGGGCTGGATGCAGTACCATTGACTTACATAGCAGTAATTCGTTTTCAGGGGGGGTCCTGACCCCCCCCCCCCCCCCCGAGATCCCCACCTCTGCCTTTGCTATTTTATTTGGCGCTGGTTAAGGTACGCTGTTATGTAGATGAATATGAGAAACGAGATAGGTTACACGAACGCCAACTTGCGCTGCTACGTATGGTTATACAGCGCATCCTATTTGGCGAATTTTGGCGAAATTCGAGGGGCGAATTTGGCGATAAGGACCATTCTGGATCTGGCAACCCTGCGTGTGACGTGAGTTTTGGCAGCTTCAGCGTCTGGCCAATAATTTCTTACCGAAAAATATTCGATTTCGAATTATGCACGGTAAATACCCGGAAATTGTGTCTAAAAAAATAAAACATATCACGATGACGTCACTGGTGGCAGCAGGCACCCAATGTCCGTTCAATGGGACAAAGTGTCGACGAATTTGGGGAAGCTTCGTTTTTCACTGTTGCCGAGGTTATAATCGAGTAAGCGTTTCCGTCCATGATAGCTATACGTTACATTGCAATACAAGTTCGACAGCATGACGTCACCACTGTTCTTAATATCTGGTTCAAAAG